AAAGAAGTAGGAGGACATCAGGGGTCAGCCACCCAACTACACAGCAAGTCATGCAGTAAGAAATAATGAAAGGTATACAGAAACAGAGAAAGGTGAAAGCCCAGAGGCAAAATAGAAATGCTAGTTAGCAACAAACCAAGCTAAGGCCGGGCATTCATAAGAAAGAATAAGCCTCTGTATGTATGTATGTATGTATGTATGTATGTATTTGGGAGCTGGGTGGTGGGTGTCCCAAAGAGTAATAAAATAATCAACATTTTGATGCCCGACAAGAGGCTCTTGAATTTCCACAGATCCTGAAGAAGCTTTAAAAAACAAAACAAAACAACAACAACAACAACAACAACAACAAAAAACCCGGCTTCTTTAGAAAACTCTCCTTTGAGTTTGTCGTCTTTGAACTTCAAGAGTGTGAGAGTACCTAGGATGCTGTGTTGAAGCTGAAACTGCTCTTCCAGGGTGGTCCCTCTGGACAGCCAGGCCCCTCAGAAGAGGGTTGCTCCCAGACAAGCACCTACAGCTTAGCCTCCAGCAGCAGCTGCACCATCTTCAGTTGGCTCACCTGCCAGGCAGCCATGCCTAATGGCCCAGATGGCAACCGCTACAGCCAGTGTGGCTGTGGGCTCTGCAGTGGGGCCCACCCTAGGTCATGCCATCACTGGGGGCTTCAGTGGAGGTGGTAATACTCAGCCTGCCTGACATCACTTATCAGGAGCCCCAGGGAGCCCAGCTGCTTGACCAGGCATCTTATGGGTCTTGCTCTCTTGAGATCAGTTTCTGGAGTGTTCCCAGAACCAGAGCAACATCAAACTCTGCAAGGGCTTCAACAAGGTGTTGAGGCAGTGAAGAATTGCAAACAGTTTAATCAACAAGTTCAAACTAAAAAATTGAAATGGGCTCTACATAATTGATAGTGCAAGTTCGGACCCTGAGTAAACCTTTTATTTCTAATAGCTCCATTGCTTCAGAATAATCATGAAAGAATTCTAACTGTATAGATATTCACTGAGGCTTATAGTGTTGGGGACTGGGCAAGTGATGGCCTCCTTGAACCACTGTATTGTTTTTTTGTGAGCTAATGAAAATAAAGTTGCTTTATTCTGGAAAAAAAGTAGTTTTCCTTTAAGAAATTCTGCCACACAGAAACAACCTTTTTCACGCTAAATAGAAACAAAAACTAAGTAAAAGCGCCTGCCTCAGTGCAAGCATTGGAAGTCTAGATTTCTGGGGATGTTGAATGCGGTTCTGGTCAAATGCACCTCCAACTGGACTGCGAACTTTAGGCTTGGTTCTCAGGCACCTGGAAGCAGGTGCAGTCAGCCATTAGAGTGGTACAGAGCACTCTGCTGTAGCTTAGTAGTTTCAAGTTGGCTCACACGGTCAAAAAAGACCATAGATATGCAGTAAAAGAGGTCCAGACGGAACAATCTCTAAACAGGTTCCAGTGTGTTTTACAATGTGCACAGGCTTAAGAAAGAAAAAAAATATGGGTATAGACAGTCATACAAAGAAAGAAATACTTTAAAAGTAGTAACTTAAAGTCTTTAAAGAGCCATGTAGGAGGGAAATACACAGGGAGTCTGGATCTTACATATTGTTATATTTCTTTTGAATTTTTTGATTGTTGGTAAGCAAACAACAGCTGCTAAGAGACATGGGAATGAAAGAGGGACTGATGAAATAAACCAGCCTAGATATTTTAAAAATGTTTTAACTTTAAAATGGAAGTCAAAAAATGCATTTGTAAAATAGAACTTAAAAGATGCATTGCTTTGGAGAAGCATTCTTGTTTTTGTTTCCACAGGAAATGAGAGGCTGTGTTGTTCCACGTTAATATGGATCAGGTTTAATCAAGGGAGACCTTCCGAAACTTGACAGGTGATATCTATCATCAAGGGTTAGAGCTGGTCTTCTCAGGACGTGACCATTATCTCAATTTTCTCAGGGACCCCTACAGATGCTTTGCCCACAGACAACAGGAAGCAGTCTGGAGAACATGATACCCACTTCCCAAGAAGGGGTGTGAGAGGCTTTTGGTTATTTGGTGGGTTATGGATGTTTGTTATCATTGAGGGAAATATAATATATTGATACAAATTTAAAGTTATTTTGTTATACTGTATATACATTCCTACTCTTGTTTAAGGTATTGTACCTATGCAGTTCATTTAAAAATGTAAAGTAAAGCTCTAGTTGTTGAAAGTTATTATTATAAACTATTTACAACAATCAAGAAACACAGGCTAATATTTAGTCATCTATAACAGTCAAATTTGTAGATATGTTAGGCATATTTTCAAGATCAGAGATATTTTAGATAAATAACTGGTCTTCAAACACTTCAAAGACCTATAGAATATGGCATATAAAATGCTTTGCTAACCTAAGGCTTTTCATGACAATGAGTCACATCTGCTCCTGGCAGCACCAATTTACTTCAGAGATAATGGGCATCAAAGAAACTCCTTAAGGAGTTTGCTTTTATTTGCAGTAAGTTTAGCCACTGGGCAAAAAGACTGCTGTTGCCTTAGATTGCTGATAATGTGCTGTGCAGATTAGATATGCAGGACCCACAGGAAAAATTCCTGCTTCACAAAAGAGTCTGTGAGATATTCTGCAAGACACAAAGGAAAGCAACTGATGAACTTTGCTAATACAAGGTAGGACAGTCCTTTAGTTTTTTTGCTTTGCTGAAAAGTGCCAGATACTCTAGGCCCGTAGGCTGAAGATGTATGCCCCAATGTTGCAGAGGAACTTTGGGTGACTATACAAGCAGCAAGATGTATTTTTTAGTATGTCATCAAAGACCTCCTTCTGGGTCTTTGATTGAGTTAAAAACTAAATGAACTATTTTCCGTTATTTTTTCCTTAGTTATGATAGAAAGTAAATCAAGGTATAAAACTTGGCTTCACTAAAATGGGATGGATGGTGGAGTGTTTTCTCTGAATTTGCTACATACAAAAGGACTGAATATTGTAAATTAGTTCTTACTTGATAAATGTTTTTGTTGTATAGAGTTTTACTATGTTAAAAACCTATCATTTTATTTAGATAAAGAGAAAAAATGTTGTAGAATATAATTTTAAGATGTGTTACATTTGTTTACATTGTGAAACATTTGTTGAATGATTCAAAGATGTGTTGTATTCTTTTATATTACATTTGTTTAACACTGTGAAGCTGTGATACTTTGCCTGTCTAAAATGTTTGATTGGTCTAATAAAGAGCTAAATGCCAATAGCTAAGCAGATAAAGGATAGGAGAGGCTAGCAGATAGAGAATAAAAGAAAGAGGAAAAAAAAACAAAAGGGAAGAAGGAACAAGAAAAGAAGGAGGGGGACATCAGGGGCTAGCCACCCATCCATACAGCAAGCCATGGAGTAAGAAATAAGGAAAGATATACAAAAACAGAGAAAGGTAAAAGCCCAGAGACAAAAGATAAACAGGATAATTTAAGAATAGCCTTTTAGAAACAAACCAAACAAGAACAGGCATTCATAAGAAAAAAATAAGCCTTTGCATGAATTTATTTGGGGGCTGGGTGGAGGTGCCACAAAGAATAAAGAGTAATAATAATAATAATAATAATAATAATAAACAAACACATCAGCAGACTGGATATACAGAAAGGTGAAAAATTCTTCCACACATTAGAGTGATGTGGATAAGGGAGTGGTTTTTGAAATAAATGTCAGGGTGGTTCTCTCTCTCTCTCTCTCTCTCTCTCTCTTCTTAATGCTATGCTCTTAACCAAGGAGAAGGTTGGCCTTTCCAGAATCCTGGGTACAACCTCTAAGCTCTTGGGGTTTCTCTAATAACAAGACTAATAGTGCTATTCATGGCAGAGCCTTCATGCCACATCTGCAGCTCACACTAGAGCACAGTGACTCATGAGGGCCCACATGAACAACGTGGCATCAAGTCTAGTTGGTGACTGAGATCAATCACATTGGCAATCCATAATGAATCTGGGCTCTGAAAGCTGAGTTCTAGAATTGGGATACTGTATGGATAGTGCCATATAACAATTATAGGAGGGCAGCATGCCTAGAGGACAGGAGCTTCCCAGGTAAAAACTTTCTAAATTTTGTCCTATGCATCTTCCTTGGTTAGAACAAACCTGTATCTGTTTTCTCTTGTGTGCACCATTATAGTAATAGGCTGAATTATTTGTATACAATGGTATTCCCAAGAAGGTTGTGTAAGTTAGGGTTTCTACTGCTGTGAAGAGACACCATGACTACAGCAACTCTTATAAAAGAAAACATTTAATTGAGCTGGTGGCTTACAGTTTCAGAGGTTCAGTCCATTATCATCATGATGGGTACAATGCGGCATGGAGGTAGACCTGGTGCTGTAGGAGTAGCTGGGAGTCCTACATCTCACAGACAACAGGAAGTTTATTGTGACACTGAGCAGAGCTTAAGTAAAAGACCTCAAAGATTTCCTCCATTGTGACATACTTCCTCCAACAAGGCCATTATCTACTCCAGCAAAGCAACACTTCCCAATAGTGCCACTTCCCTTGGGGACCATTTTCTTACAAACTACCACAAGGGTTTTAGCAAACTATTAAATCTTAGGATATTTGGGGAAACCCTCTAAACTTGCAATTGATGTGAAAGTGAGGGATTCTTCACTTGACTCTGCAGTTAGGGTCAGAAGTGTTGAGTAGGTTGGGGAGTCTGGAACACTGTTCCCTCACAGTTTTGCTAATTCCAGGTCAAAGAGCAAGCATATTTATATTAAAAATATAAATTTAGATGAACTTTCCTGCATTTGTGCTTATGTAACTGTTATTTTTATGTGTCTGAGTCTTTTGCCTGCATGTACATCTATGTATCAGTGGCATGCCTGGTAGCTACATGTGTCAAAAAAAAGCATCAAATTCCCTGGAACTGAAATTACAATTGTGACCTGTATGCAAGAGTAACAGTGCTCTTAACCACTGAGCCATCTCTCAAGACCCCTATATTTATATAACTGAAAATCTACTTACCTGAGGGTCCACTAACCACCCATGATACAAAGGAATATCTAGAAGATCGAAGACTATACACTCTGGTGTGTACTCGAACACTCGTACACCAGTAAATCTGACATTCACATCCAAGCCTGTCTGCAGTTTGTGCAAGATTGCCATAGCATCGCTCATATTCTGAAAATACAAAGGGGAGAAGTAGAATTCAGAAGAATAAGAATTACAAAAAAAAAAATGTATGTAGTGACAGGAGCCTGTAGTCGTCCCAGCAGGGTTCTCATTGTGATTTCCAGGCTAACATAGGCATCACACCAAGATCTTGCTTTTTTTCTTTTTTTCTTTTCTCCTCCTCCTCCTCCCTCCTCCTCCTCCTCCTCCTTCTCTTCCTTCCTCTCTCCCTCTCTCTCCTTTTTTGAGACAGAGTTTCTTTGTGTAGCCCTGGTTGTTCTAGAACTCACTCTGTAGACCAGGCTGGCTTTGAACTCATAGAGATTTACCTGCCTCTTCCTCCTGAGTGCTGTAATTAAAAGTATATGTCACCACCGCCCAGCCTAAGACCCTCTTTCTATTTATTTATTGATGTATTTTTTTTAGGTACAAGTGCTCTCTCTATATGCATGCCAGAGAGCCTCAATCCTGTGTGGTTACTGGGAATTGAACTCAGGACCACTGGAAGAACAGCCAGTGCTCTTAACCAGTGAGCCATCACTTCAGCCCCAAGCGCCTGTTTCTAAAAAAGAAAGAAAGAAAGAAAAGAAAAGAAAAGTTACAATTTACATTTTACCCAAGTTATTTCCCTCTTCAACACTTTCACTTTCATTTTCTGATTTTATCTTTTTTTCCCTTATAGTTCTGCAGCACTAGGGATCAAACCCAGGGCTTTGTACATGCTAGACAAGCCATATCTTCAACCCCTTAACAGACTTTTATTAAGTACATACTATGTACCAGGCACTAATCTGAGTTGCAGCATTATAATAGGGAATATTTGACATACCTCTCTCTCTCTCTCTCTGATCTTTCAAGACAAAGTTTCTCTGTAGCTTTGGAGCCTGTCCTGGAACTAGCTTGAACTCACAGAGATCTGGCTGTCTCTGTCTCCCAAGTGCTGGGATTAAAGGTGTGTGCTACCATTGTGCAGCTTTGACAAACTTTTTAATAAAGCAGAATTTCTGAAGGACTGTCCTGCTTTATCTGGACAAGGTTTGACAGTCAATCTCTGTTGTGACCTGCTTGTCCAATTAGGACAACATACTGCCAGCAGTCAAGGCAAGGGCACTTTCTTGCCCAGTGGCTTACTTTTGCCACAAAGAAAGAAAACTCCATGGAGTTTCTTTGATGCCCATATCTTCTCTGAATTAGATTGGTGCTGCCAGGAACAGACATGTCTCATTGTCATTAGAAAAAGAACCTATGCTATTAAAACATCTTTGTTATTGATAAAAAAGATCAATAAAATCAATAAAATCAATAAATGGCTGAAGCCATCTGGTCCTGGGCTTTTTTTCATTGGGAGACTTTTGATGACTGTTTCTATTTCTTCAGCAGTTATAGGTCTGTTTAATTTGCTTATCTGGTCTTGATTTAACTTTGGTAAGTGATATTTATCCAGAAAGTTATCCATTTCCTTTAAGTTTTCCAATTTGGTGGAGTACAGGTTTTCAAAATACGACCTGATGATCCTCTGTATTTCCTCCATGTCTGTTGTTATGTCCCCCCTTTCATTTCTGACTTTGTTAATTTGGATATTCTCTCTCTGCCTTTTAGTTAGTTTGGATAAAGGTTAGTCTATTTTGTTGATTTTCTCAAAGAACCAACTCTTTGCCTCATTGATTCTTTGTATTGCTTTCTTTGTTTCTATTTTGTTGATTTCAGCTTTCAATTTGATTATTTCCTGCCATCTAGTTCTCTTATGTGAGTTTGCTTCTTTTTGTTCTAAAGTGTTCAAATGTTCTGTTAATTAATGTGGGATTTTTCCAGCTTCTTTATGGAGGCATTTAGTGCTATGAACTTGCCTCTTAACACTGCTTTAATTGTGTCCCATAAATTTGGGTATGTTGTATGGTCATTTTCATTGAATTTTAAGAAGTCTTTAATTTCCCCCTTTATTTATCCTTGACCCATTGATGACTCAGGTGAGCATTGTTTATTTTCCATGTGTTTGTGGGTTTTCTGGAATTAGTATTGCTGCTGACTTCTAGTTTAAAAGCATGGTGATCTGATAAGGTACATTGGGTTATTCCAATTTTTTTTGTATTTGTTGAGGTTTGTTTTGTTACCAAGTATGTGGTCAATTTTTGAGAAGGTTCCATGAGGTGCTGAGAAGAAGGTATATTCTTTTCTGTTTGGATGGAATACTTTATAGATGTTTGTTAAGTCCATTTGAGTCATAACATCTGTTAGTTCTCTTATTTCTCTGTTCATTTTTTTGTCTGACTGACCTGTCCAGTGGTGATAGGGGAGTGTTGAAGTCTCCCACTATTAGTGTGTGGGGTTTAATATATGATTTAAGTTTTAGAAGTGTTTCTTTGACATATGAGGGTGCCCTTGTATTTGGGGCATAGATGTTCAGTATTGAACTTTCCTCTTGATGGATTTTTTTCCTGTGACTAATATGAAATGTCCTTCTTTGTCTCTTTTCACTGATTTTAGCTTGAAGTCTATTTTGTTAGATATTAGGATAGCTATGCCCGCTTGTTTCTTAGATCCATTTGATTAGTATATTTTTTCCCAACCTTTTATTCTGAGATGATGTCTGTCTTTGAGGTTGAGATGCATTTCTTGTATGCAGAAGAGAGATGGATTCTGTTTTCGTATCCAATCTGTTAGCCTGTGCCTTTTTATGGGTGAGTTGAGTCCATTTACATTAAGGGATATTAATGATCAGTGGTTGCTATCTCCTGTTAATTTAGTTTTCACCGTTGGCGATGTTAATTTGTGCATTTTTTTTCTTCTTCAGAATTTGCTGTAATGAGATCATCAATTGTCTGTGTTTTTGTTGGTGTAGCCATCTTCCTTAGGTTGGAGTTTTCCTTCTAGTTATTTTCTGTAGTGCTGGGTTTGTGGCTAGGTATTGGTGAAATCTAGATTTGTCATGGAATATCTTGTTTTGTCCTTCTATGGTGATCAACAGTTTTATAGTAGTCTGGACTGGCATCTGTGGTCTCTTAATGCTTGACCATGACCTTCTGGCTTTCATTGTCTCCACTGAGAAGTCAGGTGTAATTCTGATAGGTCTACCTTTATATGTTATTTGACCTTTTACCTTTGTAGCTCTTAATATTCATTCTTTACTCTGTATGTTTAGTGTTTTGATTATTATATGGTGAGAGGACTTTTTTGTGGATCCAGTCTATTTTATGTTCTGTAAGCTTTTTATATCTTCATAGGCATATCTTTCTTTAGGTAGGGAAAGTTTTCTTCTATGATTTTGTTAAATAAATTTTCTGTGCTTGTGAGTTGAACTTCTTCTCCTTCTTCTATACCTACTATTCTAAGATTTGACCTTTTTATGGTGTCCCATATTTCCTGGATATTTTAGGTTAAGCTTTTGTTAGATTTAATGTTTTCTTTAACTGAAGAGTCTATTTCCTCCATTGTACCTTCAGTGCTTGAGATTCTTTCTTCCATTTCTTGTATTCTGTTGTTCATGCTTGCATTTGTGGTTCCTGATCTTTTTCTTATGATTTCTGTTTCTATAATTCCTTTGGCTTGTGTTTTCTTTATTTTTTTTCTATCTCAGTTTTCAAGTCCTGAATAGTTTCTTTTATATGTTTGAGTTCTTTTTCTTGGTTTTCTTTAAGTGACTTGCTGATATCTTCCAATTTTTTGTTTGCTTTTTCCTCCATTTCTTTAAGGCAATTCCTCATTTCATCTTTAGGAATTTAAACATTCTCTTGAGGTTATTTTTTTAGATCATTTTCTTCTGGTTCATCCATATTTGGTTGTTCAGGTCTTGCTTTTGTAGGATCTTTAGGTTCTACTGATATTGTGTTGCTCTTTATGGTGTAGCATGTGATCTTACCTTTTCTACTCATCTTTCCCTCTAATAGGTGTGGTTGGGGCTGTCTGAGATTCTGTTGAATAATCTTCTAGGTGCCAGTGAATCCAGAGCTCAGATGGTTGTTCCTCGTGGTACAGTCAATGTCACAGTTCTAGTTGCCCCATTGTTTATTCCTGTTCCTGAAAGTAACTCAGTGCTCCTGTGCTTTGGTCTGCTCCCTTGGAATTTGCTGTCTCAGGCCTACTTCGGCCTAGGGTGCTGGTTTTGATCTGTTTCTGTAAATCTTGGTCTGGATCTCCTCCTGCAGAAGTCCCTGGCTTGGAATTGGACCTGTTATGGTGGAGATTGCTGACTCTGGATCTGGTCATTGGCTCAATCCTGATCTGCCCATGTCCCGGGACTGGGTTTCCTCCTGGCTTCTGCTCCTGGTGGAGCTTGTTCTCTCTGTGTCTTAGGTAACTGGTTTAGTCCCACTCTGGTTCCTGTGGAGATCGCAGACTCTGAATCAGGTCATTGGCTCAATCCTGGTCTGCCAGTGTTCCAGGACTGGGTTGGCTCCCAGGGCTGGATTTGCTCCTGGCTTCTGCTCCTAGTGGAGCTTGTTTCCTCTGGCCCTCTCTGTCCAAGAAGTCTCAATTAAAACATCTTAAATAGCATGTGCAGTGGATCTCCTAAGTGTTTGAAGACAACCTGTCTATCTAAAATATATCTGTTTGATCTTGGAAACATACCTAATATGACTACAAGTTCATTGTAATAGGTGACTAATTGCTAACCTGCATTTCCTCATTATCCTAAATAGTTGGTAATAAAAACTCTCAAGGGTTAGCAATTTACATTATATTGTTAAATGACTTGCACAAGTATCATACCTTGAAAAAGATTAGAAATGTATGTAAAGTATATTTTATCAAAATTGATTTCAAATTTGTATCAATATACAAAATTATATACAATATATAAAAGTACAATCCAAGGTAAAATATTTAAAACTAGTAGTTGCTTTTAAAAAAGTAGATTCAATAGTCTATATTTTTATCATATCTATATCCTCCTTCTTTTATTTTCAGAGTAGATTCAATAATCTACTTTTTTATCCTGTCTTTATCTCACTTTTTGTCTTTTGAAAACAAGAACTCTGAATCTATTCTCTTTTGTTTAACTTTCCTTCTGA